GAATAACAGTACCCCCATGTACAGGTTTTATGGTGTTTTGGAAAGTTAGAGAGTCACATATAAGGCTTGCATTTCATTTTTTTGACATTGAAATTTGCCAGATTGGTTATGTTGCCTTTGAGAGCGTATGGTAGCCCAGGAATGAGAATTACCCCACGGATGGCATACCATTTGAAAAAGTAGACAACCCAAGGTATTGCAAGTGGGATATGTCCAGTCTTTCTTGGTAGCCACTTAGTCACAAACACTGGCCAAATATTAGTTTTTTGCTTTTTTCACACAAAAACAAATATGAAATCTAACTTTGGCCAGTGTTTGTGACTACGTGGCTACTAAAAAAGACTAAACATACCCCACTTTCAATACCTTGGGTTGTCTACTTTTTCAAATGGTATGCTATTATGGGGGTATTCCTGGGCTACCACACCGTCTCAAAGGTAGCAATACTAACCTGGCAAATTTCAATTTGAAAATGGAACGTTCTATATTTGACCCTGTAACTTTCCAAAACACCATAAAACCTGTTAATGGGGGGTACTGTTGTACTCGTGAGACATCGCTGATTACAAATATGTGCATTTTTCTGCAGTAAAATCTAACAGTATTATGACATTCACAGCTAAAATGTCAGACGGAAATACAAATTTAAAAAAAAATCTTATTTTCTCAAACGTTTTTAAATTTTATTCATAATAAATTATGTTCCATATATGAATAGTTAATGATAAAGTAAAGCCCTGTTTCTCCTGAACAAAATTACATATAATAAGTGTGGGGGCACTTAATGTGACAGCGGTGAATTACGGTTGAACAGACATATAGCGCAAATTCCAGTTTTTGTTTACGTTTTGTTTTGATCAGAACGTGCACTATGGACTCCGTCCTGAAGGGGTTAATATCATTTAATAAGCTTTGAAAAATATTTGAACTTTTGTAATTATTTAATATTTTGAAAAATATTTTAATATGTTGATATCTTTTTTTTTTTTACTTATGATATATTTTGTTATATTTTAACCCCTTAAGGACGGAGCCAAATGTACACGTTGTGAACGAAACAAAATGTAAACAAAACCTGGCATTTGCGCTACATGTCTGTCCAACAGTAATTCACCTCTTTCATATTAAATACACCCACCCTTATTTTATATCATTCTATTCAGGGGAAACAGGGCTTTCATTTAATATCAAATATTTAGCTATGAAACATAATTTAATATGAAAAAATGGGAGAAAATAAGATTTTTTTTAATTTTTTTTAGTTCTACATGACATTTTAACGGTCAATGTCATAATACTGTTTGCTTTTACTGCAATAAAATACACATATTTGTATTCAGCAAAGTCTCACGTGTAAAACAGTACCCCCTATGTACAGGTTTGATGGCATTTTGGGAAGTTACAGGGTCAAATATAGCACATTACATTTGAAATTGAAATTCACCAGATTGGTTACGTTGCCTTTGGGACTTTATAGTAGCCCAGGAATGAAATTTGCACACATAATGGCATACCATTTGCAATAGTAGAAAAGAGAGAAAAGAATAAGGGTGCGCCTAAAACAAGTAAAAATAGTAAAATGAGAATAGCAGCAATAACAAAAAATTCAGAAAAATGTCCAAATAATATAAAAAATGGGATAACCACGGTACCTAATAGTCCAAATATAAAATGTCCAAATGCGCAAATGGTGGTCCTAATAGTCCATCAGAAGGGTATGTAGCGTCCCGGATAAGTATAAATATGCGGGGAGAACAGAAGAGAGAGAAAAACTCCAATGGTGTAGTATAAAAACAGAATATGAATATATAGTAAATATTTGTGGAACTACTCACAATCTTCAGAGCTTAAATCCAGCTCTGGTATGGATAGCGTGAAGTGGAATAATCCCCACTCAAGGATATGTGGTGCTCCTCTTTGGTCCTTTGGTGGAAGGATGGAGTTCAACTCGGGATAAAAATAATAAAAAATATATAGTGCTCACTGTGTGGTCGGTGAAACAATAAAAATGAAATAAAATATACTCACGGTATATAGAGCAGACGTACTGCTCGGTGAATGGCGTATGGGTGGTATAATCCCCACCTTAAGGATTCTTTGGTAGTCCAATATGGTCTAAATCGATGGTAGTTAGGTCTGGATAAAATGAACTTACATAGAATAAAATAATAATAAATAATATGATATAAAAGTGAAAAAGGAATGTGGCACACCAGTGTATAATAGCCAGATATTCCTTTAATGACACTTTGATTTTAAAAAAGAAAGTTTCTATACGCGTTTCGCCACAAAGGCTTCATCAAGTAGAAACAGTATACTGGGATAACCACTGTTTCTACTTGATGAAGCCTTTGTGGCGAAACGCGTATAGAAACTTTCTTTTTTAAAATCAAAGTGTCATTAAAGGAATATCTGGCTATTATACACTGGTGTGCCACATTCCTTTTTCACTTTTATATCATATTATTTATTATTATTTTATTCTATGTAAGTTCATTTTATCCAGACCTAACTACCATCGATTTAGACCATATTGGACTACCAAAGAATCCTTAAGGTGGGGATTATACCACCCATACGCCATTCACCGAGCAGTACGTCTGCTCTATATACCGTGAGTATATTTTATTTCATTTTTATTGTTTCACCGACCACACAGTGAGCACTATATATTTTTATTATTTTTATCCCGAGTTGAACTCCATCCTTCCACCAAAGGACCAAAGAGGAGCACCACATATCCTTGAGTGGGGATTATTCCACTTCACGCTATCCATACCAGAGCTGGATTTAAGCTCTGAAGATTGTGAGTAGTTCCACAAATATTTACTATATATTCATATTCTGTTTTTATACTACACCATTGGAGTTTTTCTCTCTTCTGTTCTCCCCGCATATTTATACTTATCCGGGACGCTACATACCCTTCTGATGGACTATTAGGACCACCATTTGCGCATTTGGACATTTTATATTTGGACTATTAGGTACCGTGGTTATCCCATTTTTATATTATTTGGACATTTTTCCGAATTTTTTGTTATTGCTGCTATTCTCATTTTACTATTTTTACTTGTTTTAGGCGCACCCTTATTCTTTTCTCTCTTTTCTATTGTACTTTAAGGGGTTCAGAGGGGATTCCCCTTTTAAGGTGTGCTGCCTTGTTATTATACTCCCTGTTTCTTATCAGCGCTGAACCTTTTCCCTGATTTCTATCCCATTTGCAATAGTAGACAACCCAAGGTATTGCAAATGGGGTATGTCCAGTCTTTTTTAGTAGCCATTTGGTCACAAACACTGGCCAAAGTTAGCGTTAGTATTTGTTTGTGTGTGAAAAATGCAAAAAACGCCAATTTTGGCCAGTGTTTGTGACTAAGTGGCTACTAAAAAAGACTGGACATACCCCGTTTGCAATACCTTGGGTTGTCTACTATTGCAAATGGTATGCCATAATAGGGGTAATTTTCATTCTTGGGCTACCATAGGGTCTCAAAGGCAACGTAACCAATCTGGCGAATTTTAATGTGAAAAAAATTAAACACAAGCCTTATATTTGACGCTGTAACTTTTGAAAACACCATAAAACCTGTACATGAGGGGTACTGTTGTACTCGGGAAACTTCGCTGAACACAAATATTTGTGTTTCAAACCAGTAAAAAGTATCGCAGCAATAATATCGTCCGTGTAAGTGCTGTTTGTGCGTGAAAATTGCAAAAACAAAAGTCACTTTTACTGGCGATATCATAGTTGTAATACATTTTACTGTTTGGAAACACTAATATTTGTGTTCAGCGAAGTCTCCTGAGTAGAACATTACCCCCCATGTACAGGTTTTACGGTGTCTTGGAAAGTTATAGGGTTAAATATAGTGCTAGCAAATTAAATTCCCTTTACGTTCGGCATGGGTTGTCAGGCAGGTCCCGCTAATTGTAATTAATTAAGATACCTAATTATGTAAAAATATTACATAAATATATATGTAGAATGAATATATGTATATATATACGTATGTGAATATATATGTATATATATATACATAATTTTTTTAATATTTTTATTTATATATAGGTATATATATATATAGTGATATATACGTATATATTTATGTATATAGATATATATATTATTTCATTCTACGTGTATTTTGATATAAATATATATATATATATATATATATATATATTAATATCACAATACAGTTAGAACGAAATAACACACATCTGTATATTTTTTTATTATTTTTTTAATTTAATTTTTTAACATATTTACATATACATTTTTTTATATTATATATAAATATATATATAACAACAATTATATATATATTTAATCAATATCAGTCTATGTGTATTTTGATATTAATATATATAATAATATATATATTAATAGTAAAATACACCTAGACAGTATATGTATGTGTATGTGTATATATATACTTAGATCATATATATATAATAATAATATAAAGTATATATATATATATATATATATATATATATATTTTACACTTTTTTACTTTTTTAAATTTTATTTAATTTTATTTCCAGCCAGCAGGTGGACCACCTGTCATTACAGGCAGCCCCCCTGCTGGCAATGCTGCAGCCAGCTATCCTGGCCATGTGATAGTGAGGTCCTCACAAGGACCTCACTCTCACATGGCCGGGGGGGCTGTCAGGGGGTCGGACGTGCCACGGGGGGCTCCCTGGGAGTCCCCCAACCGCGATAGCCGGCGTGAGTTCACCGGCGACCGGGTAAGTAAGGAAAGACCGGATGGCGTACTATTACGCCCGGCGGCGTTTAGAGCCGCCTAAAATAGGGCATAACAGTACGCCCTCCGGTCTTAAGGGATTAATATTTTGAAAAAAAAATATTTTAAAAGTTTATTTTCATTTGAAAAAAAATAATAATTTAAAAAGTTTATCCCAAAATATTAAATCATTGGAAAAGGGTATCCACAAATATTAAATCGAAGACATAATTGGATTTTGAAAATAATTTCTTACGTGGAGAAGGCGTTGTTTTGTTTCTCACATCGGATTCCTTTGCAGTTGTTGGGTTCCTCGGAGGCACTAGTCTCGTAATAAAAGTAAAGTTGGTTTAGTCCATTGGCAAATGCCAAAAGCACCAGGCAGTAGATAAAGAGAAATTTAAGAATGTCCAGCAGCATCCGCCCCAGTGAAATCTGGAGAGGGCCAAGATGGGAGTTTGCGGTGAACAGAGAGATGAGGCGTAAAGAACTCAGGATATTGGATATTGCAAAGAGGGCTTCCGCGATTAAGGTTGGGTGCCACATATCCCATTCTTCCCTTGGCCGTGAGCCGTTGTACTGTTTGAAATAAAAAGCATCAGGAACAAACTGAATTATCTCAGCTGGATCGCACAAACACACAAACATTATTGTTCTAAGAATGGTGCCAAGTTATCAATTTAATCAATGGATGCATAACCCTCCGGCCATGGGAAATGTCATCAGTTTCTTGTAATATAGTAATACATGGCTTGTGTCTGACTACAGACGGCCTGCTTTGCAAGGTCAAACCACCATGTAAATTAAGGCTCCAAACCAACCTCGCAAAGGATATTGTTTTTTTAAATGCAGACAGGCAGTATCTTGTTTGAATGTTAAAGCTACGAACAAGATTGGAACATTTATACACACAGTTCCAAAATATATACTCAAAGGAAAAGCTTTTAATTGAAAATCTATATTAAAAAAAAAAATTCTAAAACGAACAAACTAGTATTATTAGAATATGTAAATGCAAGTAAAATTAATTACTGGAACATTTCCAAAACATTTTAAGTTTCTAACACTTTTCAACCTCTACCTTAGGGAATTCTGACGAAAGCCTATTCTAGAATGTAGGCATGCATAAACAGAATGAACTTAGATGCTGGGCACTTGGTACAAATACAATATAGCCTTCTGTGCTTCATATTTCAAGATTGCTTGGGGCTGACAAACCATCTAGGGAGTTGAGACCAACAAAAGATAGGGTCTACTGTTTGCCCACCCCAGATTTAAATGATTTTCTGTTCATTTTCAGTTTGTATTAAAATAAATAAATAAATTAATTAATTAAATTAAAATAATCAGTTCTTACCTTCACGTAAGCTACGATTTTAAGGGAGATGGTAGCAAGGTAGAGAGAGTTCATAGCAAAATCCATGAGATTCCACCAGTCATGTACATATTCATTAAATCCCCCATCCCACATTTCTTTTATTTCGCCCCATATAAAGCCTGCAAGAAAAATATATAAATCAATGTAAACAGAAGTGATACAGTCTAAATACCTTTTTCACTTTACAATACATTGCTGGCAAACCATCTTTAATATATTGCAGTGCATGCTGGGAGGCTGGAGCTCATTTACATAGAGTCAAGCACACATATAGATTCTATATTGTCATCTTCCAGGTGGCTGGACTCCCATATGGGATGATATTTAACCTCATTCACAGTCATTTTTGTAGCCCCCTTCTTTTCATCCAGTAGCAACAACCGCAGTGAAAGAAATACTTGCCTATACCAGAGGCGTGACTTTCAATACATGGTTAAAGGGACACTTCAAACATTAGATCCATCATAGCTTATTTTGTGGTTGAGGAGCAAGAAATCCATAGGTGCATTCCTTCTATTTCTTGTCAAATTGTTATCAGTATTTCCCAGCATTCAAAGCTCATCTCCAAAGGCCGAGACATTTTTATGAGAAAGAGTTCCAGATTATATAAGAATTTGTATGGATTGAATTTGGTCAATCCGAATTACTTGGACTGGCACAGGATCCATTTAAATTTCATAATGGTGTTTTTTCTTTAATTGTCTTTATATTTGAGCAAACAGAATCTCAAGTCTTTCTAAGTTACATTCTTTTTTTACTTTGTTTTGTATAATAAATATTTACTCCTAATATAGGTTATGTTTATAAACTTGCAATATGTCTGTAAAATCCTTCAAGTAGTGTACACAGCAAATTGCATGGTTCATGTAGATGTTAAAGGGTTACTCCAACCACCATGACCACTTGAGTGATTTGAAGTGATCATGGTGGTAGGAGTCTGTATGTGAAGTGTTTCAGCTTAAAACACTGAACATCTAGAGATATTGGCACTTGTGTGCTGGGGCAGCCCAAAACTCTGTTTCAGGCTACCTAATGTCAATTCAGTATATATTTAACGTCTGTCATCAGCACGCACAGCGCAGATATCATGATGATCACAGACATGCTTAGCTTCTACCCTTGCAGGCAGATCCTGCGAGAGGAAGCTTGTTCTCTTTATTCTCCCCCCCTACCCCCCTTCATTTAGAAAGCCCTCCCTGACTCCCTGCATTTCTTTTGCACTTTTTAAAATAATTTACCTTCCCTGTCCTCCTGCTGGCCCAAAGCGCTCCCATGCACTCTATGCTGGCGAAATGGTCCAATCACAGGTTTCTCTACTAGAAGCCTGTGATTACATCACACGAGCCTCCGCTAACGTCAGATGGAGGAAGGCAGTCAGTGCCGGGAGCTTCGTCTGGCACTAGATTGCTGGTCAATATTAAAACTATTTTAGTGCATTTCAATGGGGAGACCTAAAAATTATGCCCAATAGGGAATTTTAATTAAAAAAAATAAATCAAATGTTATAGAAGGATTACAGTAATCCTTTCATAAGTATAACAGTTCATTTGAACTTTTAATTTGAATATGTTTTCAATGAGCGAGTTAAAATTATGTTTTGGTTATAAGTAGATAGGGGATAGGGGCAAACAGAGGCAGGAAAAAAACCTTATAGGAACTCCTATAAATAAATACCCATATGTTATCGAGGAATTTTAAATTAAATTTTTACAGAGAGGATAATTGTGACGAAATGCCTTTTGTCACTGGATTTTTAGGTGACATTTGCCCTTTGCCCCTGGCTGTTGGAGGAGCCTGAGTGCCAGCCTCCTGCCTCATGACTACGGCCCTGGGTTGTATGGCACTTTACAAACATTATTTGGGCTAATGGATTTATATTGTGCTGCTGTTGGCCCTTTAAGAACTGCATGGTGGTTTATGGACTTGTATTGGACCATGCTGGCCCTTTAAGAACCGTCTGGGGATATATTGAGACTTTCTGTGACAATGCCTCTTTAAGACTATGTCCTCAGACCTTTCAAATACTTTGTCTATGGCTTTCTCCCCCTTGGTTCAGTAAATGGAGCTTACTGAACCAGGTACCACACAGGCGGACCACCCAGAAGTGGAAGTGTGCAGGCAATTTACCTCCCAGGCTGGGAGCCTGCTGTGGGTAAATTGCCAAACGCTGGGGGGCCGCCATTCGACAAACGAATACGTGGCGGAGGCCATCTTTAATTCAGCTGAAGTTTTACCTTCTCCAGACTTCAATGCATTCGACAGTTCGAACGCCATTCGACAGTTCATTCGAATGTTCATTCGACAGTTTGACAATTCGAATGGTTGTCGCTCGTCTGTTTGAACTGACTTTAATATGGGAAATAGACCGACCGCACATAAAGGACTCCCAGCTAACTTTTTATCTACTAGGGGGATTTGTATGATTTTTGGTTATGTTTTTATTTAAAGTATGCTGATTCTGAATATGTATGTTTTATGTGAATATGATGCATATTTTTAAAGTTACAGTATATGTGTAAAAAGTGTTCAGTAATTATATCACAGGCAGAGGGGACGGATTGTATGTTGGGGCTGGGTGTGTTTTACGGTTTGCCTGTAAATGATTGGTTGTACTGTGTCCCACCCTGTGGGATGTCCCCTTGCATGGGGACTTGCATAAAAGCCAGTGTGTGGTCATTAAAGGAGGAGATCATCTTGTACCTTCATGAAGTTTCGGCTCATGTTTGGGAGATTGGAGAACTACACTCTGGGGATTGCTATAATCACTATACTCCCCAGGGTATAATCACTAAGCTCTGCTAAGAGCTTGTTCCTGTTCCTGCTCTCTGAAATTCGGAGAGGTCGACCTACTGGAAGCTGGACCCTGGTCTTGGGTCCAGAGTGGGTGGAGACGGCGAGACCCCAACCAAGCTGCAGCGGTTTGTAGGGTCTGCAGTGGTTATGGTGTCGGGCAGAGTGCTTGGAGTCCTCAGAAAGCACTAGGAGCATCCGTCAGCTGAAGGTACCCGGTCGGGGTGCCAGCGGTTCCGTTATAATAATAACTTGCAAAAATAATTAAAGGGACACTATAGTCACCAGAACAACTACAGCTTAATGTAGTTGTTCTGGTGAGTATAATCATTATATGCAGTCATTTTCATGCAAACACTTCCTTTTCAGAGAAAAGGCAGTGTTTACATTGCCCCTAGGGACACCTCCAAGTGGCCACTCCACAGATGGCCACTGGAGGTGCTTCCTGGCTCAGTGCTGCACAGTAGGCAATTTTTCCTTATAGAGATGCATTGATTCAATGCATCTCTATGAGGAGGTGCTGATTGGCCAAAACAGTGTTTGGCCCCACCCCATTGTCGATTTTAGCCAATCCAATGCTTTTCCCTTGGGCATTTCTGATTAGGTCACCAAGGGGGCGGAGCTAGCGCAAGCAGACACGCACGGTGCTGGTGAGTTTTATTAACTTTAAGAGGGCTAAAGAAGGGGCAAGCCACCTAAATCGTGGGCTTTGCACTATAGGGTCAGGAATGCACGTTTGTGTTCCTGACCCTATAGTGCTCCTTTAAATACGCTTTCCAGCAGAGAGGGGCATATAAAAATTTAAGGGATACTTAAAAACATGGATACACAGAAGTCCTTAAGATGGCTAACACTATAGCTTCAGCCATGTGTAGTAGAGTAGGGACGAGGAATAATTAGTTGGGGGACACTCAGCTGCCTCAACATATTTATTTTGAGTGCATTTGGGTTTCATGCTCTTGTAAAACAGGTAATGAAAATATGAGTAAATTCTCAGGAATGAGAAAGATATGAGCACAAGGGATCCATACTTATAGCAGGGTTTTCTAGAAATTTTCAATACAATTCCTTGTTGAAAGTGCCACTTATCTTTTTTTTTTTTTAAATTTACCAGCCGTAACCAAGACCTTGAAAAAAACCCAACAAAGCTGGAGGTAAGGAATAATATAGAGATTTCTATCATATAACAGAGCATATTATTCTTTTTTTTTTTGCAGCATACGATAAGATGAAAGTGTCATTGTCACAGAATGGCCATTTGTCAGCTTTATATTGGTGTTCTGCACTTGGATAGATAGATCACAAAAATCTTTCAGAATGTGTTTTAGGAATGTAATTTGCAAGTTTAACTTGCAAACTTGGAGTTGTAAGGTCAAAATGAAACAGAGAGAAATAAAAAAAGAGTTCAGGCAAAGAGGGAATATATAGAACTGTTAATTAAAGGAAAGTAGGTTACATTTAATAATGTAATGGACGTAATAAGTAGTTTTTATAACTAAATGATGCATGCAGTAAAATGAAATTCACATTTTCTAACTGTAAATAGACACTCTACCAGGCTTCCCCCAACTCTGGCCCTCCAGATGTTGCTGAACTACAACTCCCATGATTCTATGAATAAAATAGATAGGCTGAGAATCATGGGAGTTGTAGTTCATCAACATCTGGAGGGCCGGAGTTTGGGGAAGCCTGCTCTAGACCCTTAAATCACTTCAGCTTGATGAAAAGCTTTATGTGTTAAGATTTATTTTATAAATTAACCTGGTTACACCCCTCTGGCTTTCAATCAGACAAACAGTCCTGTTACTTCCTGGTTTGGTTAGCTCGGTGGAGCTAAACTCAACAGGCAACAATTACTTCTCATTGAGCTGCATTGGGGAGTCTGTGATTAAACAGCCACAGAAAGTCTGGGCGTGGTTAGAAGGGGAGGGCTTGCAAAGGCTGCAGTCAAGAAAACAAGCAGTTTTTAGACATATCCCCAATTAAATATACATAATTAAACAGTGTTTAAACCAGTTCTTTTTTTATACATATTTTGTATTTTGGCAGTGGTCTCAGTTGAGTGTATCTCCACCGAGCTAACCACACCAGGAAGTAACAGGACCTGTTGTCTGCTTGAAAGCCAAGGGGGTGTAACCAGGTTAATTTATAAAAGTGTCAATTTCTATTGAAACCTGCATTTTTTACAAAATGAAAAAAAGAGGACACATTCTTCACACATAAAACTTTTAAGCAAGCTAAAGAGATTTTGGGGGTCTACAGTGACCCTTTAACCTGGTTGTTAAAACATTAAATGTAAACTTTAGCTAAATTATTAAAATGTATCATGCCAGGCATTAAATGGTAGTTCTTTAAAGGTATCACAAGGTACTAACCAAAATAATAGCAAACATGCAAGTTATTCCAATTTTACATTTTGACCTCCATTACAGTTATTGTCATAACATCAGCATAATAGTAAAGACTACAAAAATGCAGTCCATAAGCAGATGCATATATGCTGCACAGTGTCCAAGTGGCTGGTGGCATTTACAGACATCATGTGATAAAAGAAAGCAAAAGTGATCTTTAGATACTCAGATTTTTCAATCTATATATTTGGCAGACATATCCCTAATATGATTTGTGGACATCAGATTCACTTAAAAAATAAGTGTGAAATGTGCGTCCATAAAAGAATGTGTCCTCTTTTTTTCATTTTGCATATTTCAAAAATTGTGGAAATATCTACATTGGAATTATGGATTACAGGGAAGTAAATATGTTAAATTGTCCCACTTAAAGGACGACTGCCTACTGTTATTTGACCAACTGATGCTCAACCAAACTTGCCTGCTGTTTCAGGTTCACAGAGAGCAATCACAGCAGTGGGCCTATTAGGTTTATCATTAGTTGGTCAGATAATAGTAGAATCTAAACCAACATGGCTAAACAAAGGAAACTTTCTCAAACAATATAAATAAATCATTAAAAAAAATATTTTTCATTAAGTGTAATACCTTAAAGAAGTGAAAATTTGCTGACAGTTATCCTTTGAGGATATCATGGAAACAAAATGTTGTTCTCATAAAATTAAAGCCACTGTGTATATAATTTTCGAATGCATATGCTCTTTACGAAATAAATACTAATTGTTTTGTACATCTTCAGGTTAACCCTTGCTCCATGCAAGCAGACATCTTTAATTCCTCTTTGGTAAGAATCACAATTTATCCCCAACTGATTTATGTTCTTCTTTTCGTTAATTAATCTTGACATCAGGCACAAGCAAAGGATCAGATTTGTGTGTCATAATTTACCCCAAATAAGCCAACATGGAGATTTCTGAGTTTTTCCATAAAATAAAAAATGACACTAAATTATAAAATAAAATTGAATTTATTCATTAAAAATGCAAAGTTTATGCCACAATAGCTAAGCTGGAAAATTAATTGCAGAGATATGCTTCCAATTTGGCTAGTTTAGGGTAAAATCTACACTTCCCATGTCAGTCCTCAAGGACTGACAATTCGGGTTTATTCTAGCCTCGGTGAGGGACTTTATTAAAGACAGGAGGCGAATATTTGCTCTACCTTCTTTACTGAAAACCTCCAGCAGCAAAGAAATAGTTAACAGAACTTTTTCAAACAACCAATGAGAACAAAATAACAGCAGTATGAAATTCCTCAGTCAGATCATCCCACTTCCTCTTTTTTTGATGAGTTCGAGCAGGAGAACAAGGAAAACCAACGAATCCAACTTGAAACAGGTACATCTAGAGAAGAAATCACCAAAACCAGAGGGAAAGCAGATTACACTGCAAGGAAAAAGAAGCATCATGAAAGTAAACTGTCAAGGCAGAACCTCATATCCATACAATATTACTTCCACAGTATAATACATGAGGAACAAACGCATACGGACAACCGAAACCGTATATTAGAAAAAAAATCTTTATTATACAGCATAAGACCGTACATTGTAAAACTTAACAATATCACTAAGTAACATAAGCAAAAAAAAAACAATACCAGAGAAGGACACGTAAAAGGGTGGGAAATATTCGCCTCCTGTCTTTAATAAAATTTAGATTATTCCATTACCGAGGCTAGAATAATCCCAAATTTTATGGCAAGACAGGAGGCTTCATGTTTGCAATTTTAACGCCCAGACATACTAACAAAAGAAACATGAGATCGTGGACGGAAATAAAAAGTACAGAAAGTCGATTCCCTAGACCAAACAACAGCGCAGAGAAAAATCCGTAAGGGACCCACTGGCTTCTAGAGCTGCTGAAGCTTCTGCACCCCAAAACAAATGTGCCCCAAAGGAACTTGCCATGCCAGTTGATGAGAGAAACTACTAAATCCAACTAGTGATCGTAGGTGCAGAAACAGTCCTAAACGTTCATATGTAGGAAATCAACAGCTGCCCATGAGCAGAAGGGCGAAAGGACGAGGTCCTGGATATATACATCTGTAGGCAACGTGCCACACAGAGACGTGGCTTATGTGGAGAGTAGGGATACG